TTCAGGGAGTAGATCAAAACTATTGCAATTACTGCCATTTTGACAGTCATCGGGAAAGAAATTAAATAGAAGGCTTGCAAGGGCATTTTTGGAAGAAGGGACAAGAGCCCTTTTCGGTCATTTTGACTAAAGTGTTCTTCCGCCTAGTAGCCGCCGCACGGAGCATCAGGATATAAGAGGAAAATTGTGCAGAAGAAAGGGGGTTCGCAGCTTAGCATTAGTTTTGCCTTTTAGACGTTTTGATTAGAACCTTTTCCTGCGCATGGCAGGAACAAAAAGGAATTGTTTCTTTTGACTTTTCTTGGACTTCTTAGTAGCTTTGGTTTCCACGCATGTCAGGAGCAAAGAATTGGAGCCTACTTTGTTTGACTTTTCCTTCTTGTACCTTTTGAGTGGCTTTGCTCTACGGATGCTAAGAACAATGAAGAGCTTCACTTGTTACTTGTGACTTTTATTTTGCTCTCTGATTGTTCGACGAATTGCGGCTCTTGAAATGCAGACAGTGGCCGTGACTTTTGCTGAAATTTCCCGCGGGCTTAGTTCATCCAATATGAGCTAATCCCCTCACTCTAGTCAAGAAACGACGGATGCTTTGAGTTACCTAAATATTGTGAGATCGATTTAATTTAATCTGTCCTTTTTATTTATTGGTATTCGCATATTCCTTGATTGCAGTGCTTATGATTGTTCAATTAATTGGTTGTCTTGGATCCAGATAATTAATTGATTTGGTAATCTAATGTCAATTAGGGCATTAAATCCATAATTGTTTAATTGTCCTGAAATAGTGACAACTGGCACGATTAGATTCGAGTCAGGGGGATACGTGGGCTAATCTGAAATAACCCTGGTAGTGTGTTATTTGGTTAGAATAGAGCTCCTCTAATACGTAAGGCAATTGGGGAATTGAATTCTACGGGCGTACCTAGGATTATTTCTCAATTAGAACAGTGATTAACGGGCGTACCTTGATCACCGACACAGTAAGGAGGGGTTGACTGCCATCGCTTGTTTGGTAGTTATAACTTATTTATTGATAAATAATTGGAATTGGCTTTGCATCGATGATCAATTAGGTAAACCATTGCTGAAGTTATTTCTTGGCTAGATCTTTAATTAATATTACCTTGATTTTGGTGAATTGCCATTTGATTTTTAGTTGCCTACTTTATTTTATTTTTAATTGTTTCCTTGCTTTAATTGAGTTAGGCCTTTAATTATTGTTATTCTAAATTCAGTGAATTGTGGTTTAATTTCTAGTTAGTTATTTATTTTTATTTTCTTATTTGAATTTATTTAGTTGTTGTCGTTCCTACAAATCACTCCCCTGCGTTACTCTGGATTTCTTAAGAAACAAATATACCCAATCCCTGTGGATACGACCCTACTTGCCCTGTCTACAAATTCATAATTATTTGTGAAAAGAAATAACCATTCCATTCGGGTATATCGGATCAAGCAAACTCTTCGGGAACAGGGTGAATCAAGTAACCCATTGCACACCTAGAGTCCCTGCTCCAGTACTTGGAATTGGGTTTTGGTCATTTTAACTGGCAATTATGCTTAATTTTATTATTGCATAGGCTTCGACACCCTGTCAGTATACGCTGAAAATCTTTTAGGTTTTCAATATTTCATTTTGACAAATAATTTTTTTTTTTTTGGAAAATTCTGAAAAGTTGATTAAAAGTAGGAAATACCATTGCAAGCACAATAATCAGATTAAAAATGCTTAAGTATCTAAATCAGTGTTAGGGGTGTGCACCGTTGATAATTCGGAAGTCTGAATTCCGAAAATTCGGTAAATTGAACACGGTAAATTTTGATCTATTTCCTTTTTGAATTCAAAAGTTCCGAATTCAATTTCGCTCCAGATTCAATTCAAAATTAGATATTCTACCAAATTCATATTTAAAAAAACTGGTTTGGAATTTATTGAAAAAAAAAACTAATCTAGATTAGTCAGTTAGAGGTATTATACTATCACTATTATATAATTCAATGACTTACATATATTATAATGATCTAGATTAGCCTGTTTGAGATATTATACTATAATTATTATTATATAATATAATTATATATACAAAATTGAAATCAAATTAGGTAGCCGAATTCCGATTTCGATTTGTGAATTCGAAATCGAAATTCCGCTTTTAAGAATCATGGCCTCGAATTCGAACCAATTTCGCTACTTTCGAATACGAAAACTCCGAATTCCTATGTATTTTCCAAATTTATGATTTCAAATTTCCAAATTCAAATCGAAATCAGGAAAATTGAAATTTTTTGGATTTGCGCACCCCTAATTAGTGTAGCCAATCACTAATTCCATTGAAAACAAGCTGACGCTGTTCTAATCATTAAAATCAAAGGAACACAAATGTGCATTGATGTTAATATTATATACACTTTGTATTCCTAGTACAGGTGACACATAAAATCCAAATATGAGATTAAAATCAGAACCTCCAGTATAATATAATACAATTATAATTGCATGCATCAAAGAAATTTACAATCATAATATCTACCATCATAACATTATAACAACTTTCCTAAGACTTAAAAACTAATTTGACGAAGAAAAAGAGTAAATTACAAGTACAAACATTAGTTAAAACGGAGGAAAAAAAGGACCTTTTGGGCCAATGATTGAGCCTAAGATTTATCTTATTACACATATAGAAAGAGTTAAGATTTCTACTCCACATGAGACACGTGGCAGCATTAGGGGAGGGAGAAAATTTTTCTTCCGTTTATGTCCTGAAAATGTTGATTACTTCTTTTTTTCCGGTACAAAAAATGTTGATTACTTCTCCAAACAGTATATCACTGTTGAGGTCATTTTTTTATATGAAATTACTATCTTGCCCAAATAAGAATAACTAGTCCCAAAACAGTAACTATCAGTTGAGGGCTATTTTTGACTTTTCGTGAATAGTCTTTTGCTTTCTTTCTCGGTATTTCCCGTCTCTTCCCCTCTTTTCTCAGACGAAAGAAAGCGGTAGTTGCCATCAGTTCTGCTGTGGTTCTCCGTTGTCTCTGTGTTGTGATTTGTGAAAGACAAGAAGTCAAAAAGTCAAATAAAAAATGGATGTTGACCCACGTGGCAGGAAGACAAAACACTCCCTTTCTAGTTCATTTTAGCCCATCATCTTTTGTTTCCTTCTTCCTTTCTCTCTCTCTCTTTCCCGTTTCTTTATTTCTCCTTTCTTTTCTTTCTAGTTCAGACGGAGGAGTGTTTGAATAGCAGGTTTTTCTAAATAATATTTCGCTTCTATTATAGATATATTTTTAATTTATATTTTTATATTTTTAACTATCTTTTTATCTCACATACATCATATCCCAAAAAATGTTACAGTAATTATTACAAATAACATTTCAAATAATACTCTATCCAAACAAACATCTTCCGCCAGTAGCGAACTGTTTAGAAGTGTTTTTGACTTTTTCCCTATCATTCTTGTATCAGAAGATGCAGCCTCCAACTGTCTTGGGCCTGAATTTGATGTTTTGTACATACGGGCTTTTTCTTTGGCTGATTGGGCAATAGACTGATGCATTCATTTCTTACCTTTTTTATTGAAAAAAAAAAGGATAAAAAAAAAAGGAAAAGGCAAAAATCATCCACTGGTTCTCGCTCCTTTTCCCTCTTCTCCTTCGCTTTCCTTCAGTAATTAACCAAGAAAGACGTTCACAAATTTCAATCGATGTCCCAAAGATCACAACATTCGATTTACTTTCACTACAAAAACCAGAATGATTGAAATGAGATGATTATGGTGAAAACACCCATCTCCTCTTGTGACTTTGTGAGTTTTTAGCCATTGAATTTGTTTCTTTGTTGTTTTATATTGACTACATATTGGTTGTTTGGTTCCTAACGCTTGTTGCCATTTTGTAGAAAAACGTTGGGAGATTTTCTGACTCTCAAGTTGGCTTAGCACTGATTTTCGATTTTTGGAGTCTACTAGGTGAAACCAAAGCTACAAGTGGGAAATCATAGGTGCAAAGTATCTACTTTCATTTCCCTTTGAATGACTCCTATCCTGATCTCCCAAACAATACATCTGGAGGTCATTAATTTTAATACCCATTCTTGTCCCTCATACCCATTTACCTGACACCCCCAAAATTTGCTTCCCAACTAATCCCTATTACAACCCTAAATTTAAGTTGAACCGTGTGTTGCTTGATGCGAGAGCAGGCATATAACAACTTTAACCCTGATCCAATCGTGCAATCAAAATTTAGATCGCTATGAGTTTGTTGCTGGAACCTATGTTTTCAGATTTGGATCGGATATCGACTCGACCAAACTCAGATATCAGGAGTCAATGAATTCTTACACAAGATTGTTATGTGTTCCTGGTAGTGTTCCTTAGCTAGAACTTTAAGCAATTGATCGATGGTCAGGTAGCATTATATCATCATCCAGTTGACCTCTTCAAGATTTAAACACATTACTTGTTGCCCTCTCAAAGAAAAAAAAGAAAAAGAAACTGTGGAATGTTGTAGGTCCTCCTATTAATAGACAAGCATCAGATACATTTGATACATTCACAGCCACCTACCATACGTGAATTGACTCCCAACCCCAGATCCCAGGTTAGGCACCTCAAATAAGAGAAGATAAGAAGCATCAAACATGTTTTGATCGCCATTGCCGGGTTTGAATATCTTGAACTGTTTAGTATACAATGATGGAAGTAGAGACAGCTCAAACCTAATCCAAATTTAGACCTAATATCTGAAATTAATGTCTCAAAACCAGTCTAAGTCAACGTGATTGTTTCTTGCTTCCTTCTACCTAGACGTAGAAGACAAACCATACTAGTAAAGAAATAACTATTCAAACTTGAAAGATAGATAAGAAATCTTTAAAAGAAAGACAGTTGATAAGAAAATTAGTTTGACGATCGATTGAGGAATTCTAAAAGATCAGCATAACAGGAAAAAACAAAATCCCAGTATTCAAATTACCACGTATGCAATTAGAATGATTTTGGGACAAGAAAAGGAAAGTCCAAATTTTACTAAATCAAAAGTCTGGTAAACAATCAATGCAAATAGTACCAAAGATTGAAAGCTGTAGCAAACCAAAAACAAAAACAAAAACAAAAAAAAAGTAGTCGTAGTAGTAGTAATGCCATTTGACAAGATTTGCTCAGCTGCTGAACTTTTTTGTTGAATTCTGCAAGATAATTTGTCCATAAATGCAAACACTTTCAAGAAGTGGTGGCTGATTTCACAAGCTCTTTAATTCGCAAGACTAGTTCTTTAGCCTCGTCGGGATATCCAATCTCATATCCATGAAATCCTCCCTCATCAAACTTACCTGTCACAGATACACCGTTCTCTTCTAATTTCTTCCAAAGCTCAATCTGACGGTCGACCAACGGATCACCATCACAGCCAGTGACCAAAACCTTCCACCCCCGAGCTTTGACATGATCAAATTGGCCTGGCTTAATCTCCGCCGTTGGATTGCAATACTCATGATCGCGGTCAACGCCAATTGGCAAGCTCAGATCCCACATCAGATCACATACCGTCAACGGTATGACCATGTTTTTGGCGAGCCTCAACTCTGACTCAGTCCTCTCGATCCCACCAAAGAATGGCTGATGCAATATCAACCCTTTGATCTGCAGAGGCCCGAGATCGTCAACACATGCAGCTGCATGGAGGCCAACGTGATAAGCTATGTTACCACCAGCACTGGTGCCCATCAAGAAAGCCTTAGAAAAGTCAGCATACTTTTCCAGCCATTCATCCTTGGATTTCTTGATCCAATGCAATGCTTCAAAGCAATCTTCGTAGGCTGCAGGCAGCCGGTGCTCCGGAGCAAGACGGTACTCGACGGAGACAACTACAGCCGGAATTTCTGTAACAATCGGAGTGTACAAAGCATCAAATGAAGATGAATTCACGCTACATAAAATGAAGCCTCCACCATGGAAATAAATAATCAGGGGCAATTTTTTGGCAGGAGAGGAATCAAATGCTTCCCGGGGGACGAATATCCGAGCCCAAGTGCCCTTCGATTGGTTTATGTCCAAGTCCTTCGAAAGATGAAAAGGGTTGCTAGGATCGGACGAGGCAGGGGTGCCCGGAAGTTGAGCCAGGCGTGTGATGGAGCCATCAGGGTTTTTGGCCATTCCCAGGTAGCCATAGGGGTTTTCATTGGGATCAACTGGCTGCTGAACTTGATCTGGCATGATGATTTTCTTAGACAAAGGTTCTGTGGATAGAAGGTATTTTTGGAGGCAGTAGAGTCTTGATAGTTTTCTCTCGGGCTGCTAATTTGTTGTACAACATGTAGTAGTTGGTGGCAATTGATTCAACTTTGAAGATCAATCAATAACTGCAAAGTGCCAACAACTCCTTTGTTTTTTTTTTTATTTTTTTATTTGACCGAGGAGTACAACAATAGTTTTCAAACTTGCCGGGAAGATGTAAATGTTGACCACTTCTTCAACTTGAGACAGGAGACGGTCAATTTTGGCAATTGAATTTCGATTAGTATTAATTAGACTCAGGAGGGCTCTTAAGAAGCCCAAAAGTTGAAAAAGAAGTAAAATCTGGGAGGGTTCCAAGTTCCAACTTATACGTTCAAGGTGATTTTGGAACGTCCCTGGGTAGCACAGGAGGAGATTTTAGAAGCAGAAATTTTGGGAGTTGTTACCCCCAGGGATGATTTCTTCTTAAGGGGATTTGTCGCTCCTTATCTCTACAATAATAAAGTTTGTGTAGGTATTAACTTTGTTTGTTTTCAAATTTATCTTTATATCTATTATTCATTTTTATTATCCTTTAATCATTATCTTATCCATTAATCGTTATCTCTATTATCAACTGAAACACAAATTCTACCCAAGCAAAATTACCTCCCTTCAATTCTCGCATTCTCCCTTATCAATGCATTTTTTACTTCCAATTGTACATATCTATATAATACACTTTTTATCACATATTACATGAAATAGTTACGCTTACTTGCATTATTTTTGTAATTCTTTTAATTAAAAATACTTTTTGACAAGTTGCACACGCATCAACTGTGCCTTGATAGCTAGTAACTAATAATGATGAATAAAGTGATAGTTTATTAGTTTGCCAATTTTTTCGACGATTTTCTCCCTCTTCCAAACATCCAAGTAAACTGGCACAACAATTTGAGTTCAATTTTTATTTTAAACTCCACCCAAAATATTCTTGTTTATTGGTACATCGGGTAAAATGCGCTGAAGTTGACCTCTATTGTTGCATGATTATATTTCAGTTGTATAATATTGAAAAGACACGATGAAAATATAGGACATGGATATTGTTATTGACATAGAAAATCATCCAACAGATATATTACTCTTCATTTAGATGTAATTAGACTTTATTTTTTCCACTCAAAATGCTTGTTGATGCACCTTTACTTTCCAGTAAAGTTGCAACCTCCCTGTTCGAGTACAGATGAAATGTAGAAAATGGAATTTTACAAAAGAAAAAAACAGCTAACGAACGAAAAAGATGGGAAAAAATTTAGGCATCATGAAAGGCAATACTAGTATTTTTTTTTTTTTGGTAAGTGAAAAGTTTTGAATTAAAGGACCTCGTACTTATCATTTTTTCCATTTTATCACCCAACTCAATCCCCTCTCGAGTACTTGTAGTATAAGTTTTGTATAACTGATACAACTATTATCCTGTTACACTACTATACAAATCAAAGACCTAATTGTATTATTATCTACAGTATTTGAAAACAGAAGGGCAGAGACAAAGAGAGAAGAAATGTATGGAAAGTTAATTTTTTACGTAAGGAAAATCCTATTACCCAAAAATTATCACTCATGTAACTAGATGACAATTTTGGGACAAGAAATGTAAAAATATTACTACATCAAAAGTCCAGCTCACTTGATGTAATCAAAAGTAGTCCATATATTAACCCCTGCAATATTTATTATTACATCAAACAGTATTGTGACACGGGCATTAATCTTTTTTTTTTTTTTATCTTGGTAATAAACTGGGCTTTTATCCAATGACTGCATCAATACAATAAAGTAGCATTGCATCGTAATGCATACAAATGAAATTAGCTACTAAGCCACCAAATAGAAAAGCAAGTTCTACCATACCAGCGTACTAGCTTTGCTTAGCTGAACTTTTTGGCTTTTGACCTGTTGTAAGATCAAAATAACTTCCCAAGCACATACTTTTTCAAGAAGTGGTGGTAGATTCTACGAGGTCCTTAATGGTAATGGCCAGTTCTTTAGCCTTGGAGGGATCTCCAAACTCATACCCATGACATCCTCCCTCATCAAACTTACCTGCTACCGGTACACCATTCTCTTCTAATTTCTTCCAAAGCTCAATCTGGCGGTCTATTAACAGATCACCGTCACAGCCAGTGACCAAAATCTTCCACCCCAGAGATTTGACCTGATCAAATTGGTCTGGCTTAATCTTCGCCATTGGATTGCAATACTCATGATCGCGGTCAACGCCGATTGGCAAGCTCAGATCCCACAACAGATCAGTTAATGTCAACGGTACAACCCTGTCCTTGGCGAGCCTCAACTCTGATTCAGTCCTCTCGATCCCACCAAAGTATGGCTGATGCAATATCAAACCTTTGATCTGCAGAGGCAGGAGTTCGTCAACACACGCAGCTACATGGAGGCCAACATGATAAGCTATGTTACCACCAGCGCTACTGCCCATCAAGAAAGCCTTAGACAAGTCAGCATGTTTTTCCAGCCATTCATCGTTGGAGTTTTTGATGATCCAATGCAAGGCTTCGAAGCAATCTTCATAAGCTGCAGGAAGTCGGTGCTCCGGAGCAAGACGGTACTCGACGGAGACTACGACAGCCGGAATTTCAGTCACAATTGGAGTGTACAAAGCATCAAAACTGGCTGTATTTACACTACACGCGACGAAGCCTCCGGCATGAAAATAAATAATGAGGGGCAATTTTTGTTTAGGGGAGGAATCATCATCATCAAACGCTTTCCGCGGAACGAATATTCGAGCCCAGGTGCCCTTCGATTGGTTTATGTCCAAGTCCTTTGAAAGATGAAAAGGGCTGCTAGGATCGGACGAGGCAGGTGTGCTCGGTGGTTGAAACAGGCGTGTGATTGAGCCATCGGGATTTTTTGCCAATCCCATGTAGCCATAGGGGTTTTCATTAGGATCAACTGGCTGCTGAACTTGATCTGACATGATGGTTTTCTTGGACAGATGTTTTGTGGGTAGGAAAGGATAGAAGGTATATTTGTAGAGGCAGCAGAGTCTTGATAGTTTTCTCTCTGGCTGCGTTGGCTGATAGGATTTGTAGTTTAGACGATTAGTATACGTGTTTGCCTCACACTCTCAATACACAAGAACGCCGTTCTATCGGTTACATCTTGATCAACCAAGCGCACACCGTCCAAGAAGATGATCATTCACTTGCTCCACAACTCATGTAAGCCAACCTATTTACTGAACAAATTAGCAAGTTCAATTAAAGTTCACTCATCTTTAATACGAAGATAGTATTGTTTTAGAATTCACTAGTATTCGCCCTAGTATATGTGTATATAAACAACATAAAAAAAATAAAAAGGAAAATCTAAAGCAAATTAAGGGAATCTATTTCCTCCAATGTGTCCAACCACAGGGAGGAGAAAAGCAAATCTAATGGAGAACCATACCTAAATTCTTGAAGGCTCAACATGGCTCATGTGCATGCACATTGAATTCATGAAATAATCCACATCAAGGGTATCTTGTTCAATGATTCATCATTAGCAACAAGAAATGCTCGGTCTTCCAGAGTCAAATCCTGATTGGCCGTTTTTGTAGTATTGCTAAAAGATACTCAAACTTCTTTCCCAAGATGGAGGAGGACAAATAGTTTTGTCGGCAGGAAACACTAAGATAATATGGATGGCAACTTATCATCTGCCACCCTCACAAATATGGCTCTCATTTCTCCCTCCCAATGTGCATCTATAACTATTAATTTTGCTGCTACAATCAAGATACATATTTGTGTTTGCATGCATCTTTTTGTAAAAATGTTCTTATAGAAGTACAATTTCGTGCAAGTTCACTGCTAGTGAAAATCTGAACCAATCTGACTTGGTTCAAAAAGGGTCTAAAAATTATTGACTAAAATTGTACTCTTTTCTTTTAGTCCCATTAAAAGTATTATACTTTTCATTTGAGATGTCCCAAAATGTTTGTCCAATTGAAAAAGTCAAAACAACATTTGCTCTGTTTTTCTAATATAGCCTCTTCCTCTAATCATATGTATGTTTTCATTTAAATTCAAATTTTAAATTTGTGAGAGTAAAATTAAAAAAAAAAACACAAATATCACAATCAAATTACTATTTCTAAAAAGTTGAATTTTCGAAACAGGACCAAATAATTGGAACAGAGGGAGTAGTACAAAAACACATTAACTATAAAACCTATTATTAAACGGTTCAAACTTTTTTTTTTCTTATTCCTTTTTTTTGGGTGCGTTTTGGGTTCGTTAAATTATGATTTACTCTCCAACCACCAATTGTGTGGATTAATTGGTGGCATGATTGTGTAAAAATCAAAAAGAAAGAAAAGAAATTTTATGAAACCATAGCTAAAGTTTTCTTTCAAGAAAAATGTTCTCGCGAGGGACTAAAGGATCTGTCAAGAAAAATTTGTGCAGTGGTGAGAACGCGGCCTGCTAAAAGGTCAGTGCATGCCTTCAGCCCTCCCAAAACAGGAAGATTCGGATAGGCCCCGTGAATAATTCACTGCAATGAAAGGTGAAAAATACAGCCAAAAAAGGCAACACATGCACGAATCAATTGCATGGGGAGGCCTGCAGCGATGGAGCAATGTGACTCATAACATTGATAGTACACTACTGTCAATCAGTCATTCTTTGTGGCTCGACTGCACGGATGTATATGGAAATTGCACATGGTATTTAGGAAGCATCCAGCAATTGTGTTTAATTCTTGAAGGTTCGTTTGGATTCTCAATTTTATGAAAAATAAGGTTGTGTTTGGATTGCATTTTCCGTGATTTTTCATGGAAAAATTACTGTAGCGATTTGATGTATGTGAGGGAAAAAGGTAATAGGGAAATGTGATCACAGAAAACGACGTAATTTTTCGACGGAAACCGGCAATCCAAACAAGGCCTTTTTTCATATAAAATGTTATAATAATATATAAATAAAAATAATTCTAAAAATACCACGTCCATACAACATATTAAAAAGAACTCCAAATATCAAAAAAAAAATTGCAAAAAATTTACATCATTTTCTACTTTCATCTATCATTACGATTCCCTCATTCCTCAT